ATTTTGGGCAGGGAGGATGTGGAGAGCACCAGGTCGGTGAAGGCCAGCATGGCCACCAAGAGGTACATGGGCTCGTGCAGACTGGGCACGCTCTTGATGAAGACGAGCAGGGCCGTGTTGCCCAGCACGGCAATRGCGTAGAGAATGCTGAAGGGGAAGGCGATCCAGAACTGCTCCTGCTCCAGCCCAGGGATGCCGAGCAGCACGAAAGAAGGATGCTGGGCGAAGGCACTGGTGTTCAGAGACGACATGGAACACTGTTTGCCTGTCTATTCTAAGATTTCTTACGTGTTTAAGTGCCATTAAAAAAAAAAAAAAAAAAAAAAAAAAGATTAAGATTAAGGGTACACTCTAGAGTAGATGCTCACAGTGCTAAACACAAAACAGACAATCTATGTACTCAAAACTCCCACACAGGCAGACAACCCTCTAACAGCTCCTCACCTTAATCCAGGAGAGCACTTCTGAAGCAAGTGTCCTGCCAATTTGTTTTCAGTTTTATTTCACAGTGTTTTATTTCACATTATGGGTCCTTCTGGAGCATACAGCCTGGATTTGTCTGGGAGGGAACAAAATTGGATGATTTCTGCAGGAGTACACCTGGTCCTCTCCAGTCTTCAAAGAGTGTCCAAGAGACCAGACTAAACCTGTTCCAAAGTAAGCCTTCTTGAAATGCATATTGTGGGGATATGAGGTTATAAGCACCAGCTGTGTATCTCTAGGGAAGTCTTTTTTTGAGCTGCAATGCTTGCTGCTATAAACAGCAGCAAGAAATATTTGGCATGGTCAAGAAACATCAGATCTCAGTAGGAAACACTGAGCCAGTGCCATGTTCTTCTGGCAATTTCCCTACAAATGTAGGCTCTCAGGATGTTCCTTTTCCCCCGCTACACAAAGACAGAGCTCACTGAGCCTGTGCGTCTTGTTTAGCTCATCCTTTTGCGCTCAGAACTAGGGTAAAAAAGAAGGTTCCTTAAAAAATCCAAACCTGACACACAGATTAAACCAAAACTCCTGACCTTACAAGATCCTTCAGAAGTCTTCCTGAGACTAACACCTTCTGCATCAAGACCTTCAGAGGGAATGGCAGATCTAGGGGTGGAGGAGCAGTGGAGGCTGTTTCTCTAGCCTTAGAAATGCTCACAGCTCGGGGATCACATGCAGCCTAGGAGGAAATTTTTAGTTTCATAGTTGTGAACATCATAGGAGTGGGAATTCCTCATATTTTCCTTTATTCTGCCTCCTTCTTCTCAGCTTCCTCCAGGAGTTCAGCCTCACTTAGTGCTTCATCCTTCCGCAGAGGGCACCAGGAATGTGGATGTAATTCCCAGGCCAAAGCAGTATGCAAAGCAGGACACTTGCCTTGGAGCTTTGCTGTCTGCGGGCTATTGCAAAGCTTGCAGAGGGTACCGCAGAAGGGCAAACTACTGCCCTAACCTTAAATACTCACCTGCCTCCGGCAAGTTTCCAGGCAGGGAAGCTGCACGGTGAAGCCCAGGAGATGTTTATGCATCTGGGAGATAAAACCCAGCAGGAGCTCTGCCTTTCTTCTACTTAACATGTAATTGGAGAAAGAGAGAGAGAAATCAACAATTTTTAACCCATTCACTGCTGATGAGCTCACCGACAGTTACATTCTGCTTGGTTTGATTTCTGTTTTCTTGTAGTTTACATATTTGGAGGAGACTCTAGGGCAATGACTCTGTTCAAGATTAAATCATAGAACTGTTTTTTTTTAAAATAAATCCTTTAGTAAATTTAAGTCAATTTATGAAACCCTCTCAAACAGTAGTAATGTAGACTTTTTGTTTTACTTTTCATCTACTAGCAAGGGGGGAATTTTCATCTACTTTAAGGGGGGAATCAGTCCCCATCAGATGCAGACACAGATGCAGACACAGAAGTGTATAGAGGTCTAAAAGCAGGTCTAGGAGCCTATCATGTGTTTGTTGAATTATTTCCACAGCTTTCCACATGCTGCACCTCCTTTTGCTGGTTTTGTGGTGTTCACTGCATAATCTCTCTGCCAAATCTTTTGCAATGACATTTTCAATCAAAAAGCAAGTTTTGCAAATATAAATAAAACTCGTTCTTAGGGCCACCATATCAACCTCCAGTGCAGCCTATGGAACAGTCTGGGACCACAGAAATTTCACCAGGGTTAAGAAGCATGAAGCAATGGCAGAAGCTGTTCTCATCTATTTCAAAGGTCCTCCAGCTTTCTGGATGTAGATCCCGGTGTTCAGACCTTCCCACGTCCCACTCTGCTCTCTAAGACAGCAGCAGGAACAACTTTATTGCAGTTCCCCATCCCTGCAGGGCAATGCTCCTTGCCTGAAGTTGGGGAAAAAAGATGGAGTTTTTACTGATGCCCATAGGAAATTCATCATGCATCCCTACTCTGAGGCTTCATAAGCTGTCTTCTTGAAAAATAGATGGCTAGGAAATAAAATATAGCATTTTCAAGCCAGTTCATTCATTTTTCTTTATTATTTTTTTTCCCTGAACACAAAAGGGAACAAATAAAGAACAGATGGAGAATGGGCAGGAGCCATTTCTCAATGCCATGGTCATCTGAAAAGAGTTTAGGTCCACGGCCCATCTCTGGAAAATTCATTCACACTTGCCCAAATCATGTTAGGCAGGTGCAGATCGTTTTCATTTCTTTGGAAATTTGTTACCCTTCTAAGATGCAATAAAACAGGATATGACAAAAATGACAAGGGGCAAAATTGCCTTAAAGTCCCAGATGGCAACTACTTGCAACTTGCTTAGAGGGGAATATTTATTTTGAAATAAAACATGCCTTAATTTGGCAGAGAAGTTTAGGAAAAGCTCTGTTTCACGGAAATTGAAGCTACAAGCTGCAATATAGGCCACAGACTACGAAGAGGATGCACATTTTACAATATGCACTAGCTTGTAATTCGAAGAAAATGTACTGGACTGCAGGATGTTTGCTGCCTCTTGAAGGCTCCAGAGCAAGACAGCACATGTCTTTAAAGATAGCTATTTTAACACATCTAGTTGTTTTGGACAAGATGCAAGAAGCCCTGGGTGCAGCCCTTTCACCTGTATTAGCCAAAAGGACAGAGGGGCTTAAAGTTTTCTCATGAAAGGGAATGTGTTATTCTTCCCTTTCATCCTCCTCAGTGGAAATTGTTCACTGCCAGCTTTCCACATATTTTCCTTTTTTTTTTTTTTTTCCAGAAAATTTCATTTCTTTTTCCCAACCCAGGTTTCTTTTATTATGCATATACATAAAGGGGCCACAAGAGCACATGAGAAGGAGAAAAAGGTTGCCCAGACGGGCTGTGCAGTCTCCATCTGTGGAGGTTTCTGAAATCCAGCTGGATGAAGCTGTGAGCAAGGGTGTGTTTTTTGCCCCTGTGGCAAAGAAGACCACCAGTCTCTTGGGCTGCATCAGGAGGAGCATGGCCAACAGGCCACGGAAAGTGGTCCTTCTGCTCTGCTCAGCCGTACTGAGGCCACATCTGGGGTGTTGGGTCCAATGCTGATTTCCCCAGGACAAAAGAGTCATGGAGCTGCTGGAGCAAGTCCTGTGTGGGGCTGTGAAGGTGTTGAAGGGACTGGAGCATCTCTCCTATGAGGAGAGGCTGGGAGAATTGGGACATTCCAGCTTGGAGAAGAGAAGGCTTAACGGGAGAGTTCATCAATGTGTACAGAAATGTGATGGGAGAGTGTAAAGAAGACAAAGTCAGACCCTTCTCAGTTCCTAGAGACAGGACAAGAGGCAGTGGACACAAAAAGCAACCCAAGAAGGTCCATAGGAACATAGAACAAACATTTTCACTGTGGGGGTATTCCAACACTGGGACAGGACACCCAGAAAGGATGTGGAGTCTCCATCCTTGGAGATATTCAAAACTTGTCTGGGCATGGTCCTGGGCTACCTGCTCCAGGTGACTCTTCTCCTGCTCTAGGTGACCCTTCTTTGAGCAAAGTACTGGAGGTCTCTCCAGAAAGGAGAAACCAACTTCAGCAAATCTGTGATTTTGCAATTATGTGACCTTTTTTTATTTCACAATATGCTATTCTGAAAGATATTATTTTTCCCACTCTAGTCTGCACTTTGTTTTCTAGTCTCTGCGAGACTGGTGGATACTGAAATAACAGCAACACAAGAGGTGCTTGGAGAATGTAAGAGTATCTGGTCTGTGAGGAAATCTGGTTTGTGAGGATATCTGGTTAATTCAGCAGGAAAGTCTAGGAAAAGAGGCAGGGAAGGTAACAAATTAAACAGCAAGGAACAGAGATGCTAATAAACAGAGACAATAGCAAAGAGTAAACCCCTCAGGTCATGGATTGATGCACCACTGAAGGATCTTCTCAGAGGTGATCAGACCTTTGTACCTGCTGCGGTTGGTGAGCAAATTTATGTACATTGTTCGGGCTAATGGGAATGCTCAAAATGTGTTATGGACCTTTTAGGGGCAGGGCCAAAAGTGGGCAAAAAATGTCAAGGAAGATGCAAATAGCAGCCAAAACACCAAGCTTCTGGGGGACAGATCCTGGAGGGACCCATTTGTGCTTGCATGCACAGTATGGGATCTGACAGCCAGGTCCAAGCCAGACCAGCTGGCACATACAAATGGCATTGGGCCACGTGCATCACTCGTGTTCACATGCATGTGTTTTTTGTTTGTCCAGCACCTGCAAAAACCTTCTCACATTGCTCCTTTGACATGTCTGCCCATGTGCGTGTGCACTGAGTCCTGTGCATTATGCATGTGCATGGAGTCCTGTGTTGGAGAACCTGGTGCAGGGACCCACGGCAGCAGTAGCCAGCCAGGAACATGCATTTCTCTGAGTTTCCACCTCCTCCTGATTTGGCAAGATTTAGGCCAGTATATGCACAGATAAAGACTCCCAGGGGAAGTGTAAACTGTGAAGTCCACAGCAGGACTTAATTCCCCCCTCCACAGTCATGCGGCAAAGAGAGGGCAAGGAAAACAAACTGGAAGAGGGTCGTGGGAATGAATGTACAGAGACGTGGCTGAGGGGTATGAGGAATGCTGGAGACCTGTGATGCAAGAACTGCGTGACTGTGCAGTAAAACATAGCAGAGCGAAACAGAGAAATATAAGATATAGGGAAATTGATGGTAGCACCAAGAGATTACTGTTAGACAGAGGTAAAATGGCTCTGCAGAGATCAGACAGAGACATTTGTTTTTTGTTTTTTCATAGGTGATTAACCTTTCTATGGCCCTCTTACCCTGCATTAAACT